CTTTGTTAATGCCTCAACTACTTCTAACATTTCTAAAATTTCCAAAAAGCATTAGTAAGTTGTAGATTTTCTTTATTTTTACTTTAGCAATTGTCACAATTATTGTATTCATAATATGAAAAAGATAATTCTGGCTAAAGATATTTGCACAAGAATTGTAGATGACAATTATATTGTGTTATACAAAAAGCTATTACGTTAAAAAGATCTTTTTGCATAGTTTGCAAATATGCATTATGTATAGAATTTATGCTTTCACTATCATATATATATTATATATGGTTAATATGGTATAATCTTATATATTTAAAAACTTAAAATTAATATTATTATACCTTTGATCTTCAGCAATTATAGAGTAATTGGTTCACAAATCTCTTAGTTCAAAAAATATTATATTTTTTGCTAGTTTTACATCATGCCCCGCATGGCCCAAAAATTGTATAAGTTCAATTAGTAGAAACAAATATAGCATTAATACCAAGAATTAAAAAGTAATATATAAAAAACCTACCTAGTGTCATAGGAAAAGTATGATGTAATATTAAGTGAATATCTGGCATGCCATTTCAAATACAGTGGTTGCTATCATTACATGTGTTTTATTATTTTTCCATTTTTCTAATGTGTACTTCTTATCTGTACTATTTAGATCTCATGATATATGTCTAATGAATAATTAGGCAAATTCACTTAAAGAATATCTTTTATTTCTTCACAATCTTTTTTTGTACACAATATATAATTGATTTACCATCTTCAATATTGTGAATCATTTTAGCCATCTCTTCAATTATTGTATTCTTTTTTTTTTTGTTACAACTTCATACTTAATTTTTTGACATAATAATTTTTTACTGCAAATTATTTTAAAATTATTTTGTTCAATATTTAGGGTTTTACGAATAGCTTCAATATGTACACTTGACACAGTTGCAGTTAACAATAATAAAGATACAGTAGAATATTGCTGTTTAAGAAACCCTAATCTTCCTCAAGATTCTCTATAAAATAAAATAGATATAGCAAATTATAACACATATAGAGAATATCTATAGCAAAAAGGGAATAGAGCTATATATTATATAGTTCCATCCCTCTTATATTATGAACATTTTCATATAGTAATCAAACTTATTACTGAAAATATTGATAACTTAATATACAATGTGCTTTATTTATAACTAACTATAATTTTTTTGCCTGATATAACTTATCCAAAAATATTTGGAACCATTTATTTAACTTAATTTTTTCTAGAGTTATATACAATATTTTTAAAAAACCTATTCTGATTTCTTCAAAAATTTTTTCCTCATATATAGCTGTTTCCATTGTAGAAGCATACAAGACAGTACTAGGAACTCCAAGGTTTGTTAAACATGTCCATAATTTAAGTATAATTAATTTTTAAAAAAATAAGTAAAAATTAAACTTATTACTATTACTAACTACTTGATTTTCTATTAGTGCTACTAAAGGACTAATAACAATAGTTAAGCTGTCAAATAGTATGGCAGATAAGACAAAGCACAAGATTTGCTGCTACTGGTAGACATTAATATGAATATATTTTTATAATCTTGAATATATTTTTCTATTGCTAATTTTTGTTTCAATTTTAATGTATCAACCCATATATTTTTTTTGCAATTATTGAAATTTGTTTTTCAAAAATTTTTATAGAACAATATTTTACTTTTGGTATATAAGCCGAATCTATAATTCAGTCTGATAATCCAAGGTTCAAAAAAGTATCATACATGTTACATAATCTTGACGAATATTGTTTTTTAAATGCTTGGCATCCTTGACATCTAATTATTGTTTCAAAATTCTTAATTAAGTATTCAAATAATAGATAAAAACTATTTAAATATAAGTATTCTTGCCCTTTATATTTGTAAGAAATTAAATTCTTTATATTTAAATATAAATTTTATTAGACTAATATATCAATAAATACAGTATATTTATTTTAATTTTATTAGATTATACCTGAGCAAAATCAAATCCTTGTAGCTCTTTTTTTCATTTGAATAAATTTTAGCATGTTTAGCATTATGTAAGTGAATATTTTTTATATTATAAACTTGCTGATCATGTCGAATATTTTCTATTTTTTCAATATTAATTTTATTCTGTATTGTAAAAGATTCAGAAATATATCTATACCAAATAGTTTTCAAACCCCTAGTATAGCTATCATTATGATAAATAATTGCTAAGACATGTCATCCACTAAATGATTTTTAGAAGTCAATTTTCTTATTAAGATAAACTAATTTGACTCTGTTAAAGGCTTCATTTATTGAAGTATGATAAGTAGTTACTAATACTTGACCAATCAGTAATTTAAAATTTTTTTCTAACATTTGTCAAAATTCAATAATTTGAATCTACGAATAATATTTTAATATTGGATCTTGAATACGTAATTCTTGATTATCTTTTATCCAACAAACTTAGACCAACATAATGAATAATTATCTTGCAAATAATATATCAAGCCATCTATTTGAATATTCTGAAGTTGAGATTGAGTTGGGGTAATTTCATCAGGATTTGCTTTATATAATCTAGCTGCATAAACACAGCTATTAAAGTAACGTATTATGTACTATTTGAAGTTATAAAATTTTTAGTAAGTTGGTTGTATTAGAAAATTAATTTTTAATACTACACTTATCTTTATTTTATTGACTTGAACTTTTAATATAGTTGTATCTAGGTTATATCACCTTTTTTTTTATCTATTTTTTTAATTTTTTAAGAAATAACTCACAGAAATTTTTCTGTCTAAATATGGAAATATAACTAAGTTAACAAATAAGAAAAAGTATAACTCAGTAGAAATATAACCTAGATACAATTATATTTTACCAAAATTAATTTATCAAAAATTTTACTGATAATAAATTTTATCAATAAAATGAATGAAATTGGATATCAATAAAATAATTTTGGTAAGTATAGCTTATACTCACATAATGATTTACGTATGTTCTTACTTATATATTTCAAATCAGCATATATTTGACTAACGATCTGATATTGGCTAATGTTTTATTAGTATCTAAGTCTCTATCAACAACTATTTCTAAAACAAAATCATGTTTATCTAAATAAGGTTCAACTTCATTCAGAACAGCAATAAGTATACAATGCTCCATTTGTTGTGAACTTTTTTTAAAATTTCCTTCATGAAAATTAATAGTTTTTCCTGTATCTCGATCTTTTCTGTTATGTGCTTTTTCAACAGTATAAAAAGCAATTACAGGTTTGTGAAAAACATCTAGTTTTAATTAAAATATAAGTTATACTGTAGTATTAAATTAATACAGTCATGCCTAGGTTATATCACCCTTTTTTAATTTTTTAGAGATTTAACTAAGGTAAAATATTATTCAATACTTAAAACATATAAAAAAGGAAATTTACTTTGCTCAAATATAGAGAATACCAAAGATAGAAATATAATCTGGTGGAATATAACTCTAGGTATGACTGTATTTACAACTGTTTTTAAAAGTGTATGAATAATGATTTCCATATATCTATGTGGAAAATCAAAAGATCTAGAAATTTAGATCTGTAAAATTTAATTCAGAATAAAGAGAATTTCAAAAACTTTGGAAATCTTGAAAAGATTATAAATTTTCTATGATATAGTGATATGTGACTGTTTACACTCTTTTAAAAATAGTTATAAATTTATAAATAAAATACCAGATATAGATTCTTGAAAAATTAATTCACTGCTTGCTTGCTGGGCATTATGCCCATGTGACTATGAGCAATCATCAAGAAAATTTAAAATTAGATTATAATCAATTAATATTTAAGGATTTTAAATGATTTTTATCACTACTGTTGATTAAAATCAATTAGATTTTTATCAATTATAATTGATATAAATTATTGCTATCGATTATAATCTTTTAGATTGTATCAATTTTTATCATTAACGATTATTATCAATTTTGATATGAATCAATTATCAACTCTACCGTTGGTTATAATCACTTAAAGCTAATCGATTATAATCAATTAACTGTTTTACAACTGATTATAATTAGGCTTTAAAATTTCCTGATAATCAAAACTTACAGGTAAATAATTAGCATTTTTTTGTTTCATAATCTCTAAAGATTTTTCTAACCAGAATATTGTAGATTCTTTAGCATTTGTGACCAAATAAGAAAATAATAGTGCTTGATATAAATAATAACTTTTTCTACAACTCTGACTAGTAATTTCAATATATACAAAAATACTTTGCAAAGAATGATAAGTAAGACCACTCGCTAAAGCTTCTGCTAAAACTGTCTTTGAATAGCGAATATTCCTTGGTTTGTTATCATTTTCTATTATCTCACCACATAAATGACAAATAATTTGGCTTTTTACTGCAAACCCAATAGTATCGACAATATAAGTGTATTTAGAAATTTGAATTTACTACAATTAGTACATGGTTGTGAAAAAACTAACAAAAGATACTGCTTTGAGTCTATTAAAATAGTTGATCTGAGCTTAGCTTTGCTAATATTTTCTTCTATTATTTCTAATAGTTTATTAGAATCTTTTTCAGTATCAATTTGGTTATTATCGTCAGTTAGTTCAATAATTTTTTTTTTGAAGTCATTAGATTTTTTGATTTAAAGCATAACGTTTTTGAATCAATTCATTATATTTTACTATTAAAGCCTGGTTTTCTTGTGAAGTCAAATATTTACCATGCTGTTCAAGTAAAATTCTATTAGAAATTGGTAATTTACCTTCATCTATTTTATTATTAAGCTTATAAACAACATGTTTCACAGTATTTTCTAATCTAGTTTTTTTTTGAAATGCTTTTATAGTTTGGTTATAGTTATTGAATATATGAGAATAATATCGAGTTATTATATTTTATAAAAAAAAAATATTGTCATGATTAAGAAATCCCATAATCTACAGAAATGTTTTTTTTTAGCATTATGTTTGTGCAGTAAACTTCAATAAGATGTGTAGTCAGACCAACTATCTTGTAATTTTTGAAATGTTAAATTATTATCAAAATTATACTTCTCAAAATATATTTGATTATTTTTATCTTTAGCAATTTTAAATTGAAAGTATTTTTTTTGAAAAAGTGTATATATAATATAACTGGGTAATAAAGGAACCCAACTTATATCATTATTTTTATTTTGATGTAGATAATATCCTGCATAAAAATTAAATTTTGCTTCAGTAGCTTTTAGATTAATAGGAGTCAAAATTGAATAAAGGTCAAGCACTTCTAAAGTTTCGTCTATTTCTCTTACAATCAATGTTTTATTATCATGCTAAAAAGCAATTCAGGCCCAAGGTTTTTGTTAAACTAATTTTTGGTACCAACTAGACATAATTTTTTAAAAAAACCAATATATTTTTATTTATAATAAAATTGTTATGATAAAAGCAATACATAGTAAAATTGTAAATTGGCAATTATCATTATTGTTATATAGTGTTGATCATATTCTAGAAGTTCTAAAACATTAATAGAATATTTTAGATTTTAATTGTCACCCCTGCAAAATCAGATACACCCCTGCAGCATTTACTTAATTATTTACAAGTAATTTGACTATATAATATTAATTAATTATTTTATTACTATAAATAGAAGGTTTTAAAATATAAGCCACAAAATTTTGACAAAATTTGACCATATTTCTAAAAAGTTTTATTAGTAGCGTCTTTATGTTGTCATGTGTAATATTATTTTGTATCATGATGATCATATGAAAAATGATTAACATACCCTCTACCCTTAATCTGGCCTGTTAATAAAAATTATAGAGCTTTGAGCTCAACTTCTTTGCATTGAGATTTTTAATTAATTACCACTATATTGAAAGCTTACTATAATAGAAATTATATTTAAAAAAAAACATCTTTATACTTTTTCTCATATAATTGAATTTTGGTGTTTTTTTAAAAAAAATTGTTATTATGCTTTCCCCACATAATTTTAGAAACTATTTTATTCTAGTAAAAAATCCAAACAATCCTACAAATGCTCTTATGATATATAACTAGTGTATAAGAAAATATGGTGAGTTAGGAGCAACCCAATTAAAACCAGAATGTTGTATAGTTAATAGAGCATATTTGTGTTGTAATCATCTATCAAATAGTGAAGAAGTATAAAGAATTCTAGCTTTACCAGTACTAGAAGATAATAAAAAAAAGTGAAAAAAACAATACAGAAGTAGATAGTATGCAGGATTTTTAAACTAAGCAAAGTTATAATCACTGGTCGAAATCAAAAATATAAACCAAATATCATCAAGCAATCATCTAATCGATAGCTGGCCGATAGTTTGGTGGCTGCTATAA